CCGACCACAAATGTGCGCCCCGGGGGGCCCGGAGGCTCGTCGGGGCTTGCCGGAGGCCTCCCCAGTCACACAAGACGGCCCAAGAAGCGCCCAAGACGGCCCAAGAAACTTCCAAGAGGCCTCCAAGAGGGCTCCGAGATGCTGAAGATGGCCTCCAGACGTCCAAGGACGCCCCCAAGAGGCCCCAAGAAGCCTCCAACATGCGTCCCAAGAGGGCCCCTAGACGCAAAAAATTGCCCATTCCCTTCGTAAAACGTACATGTTCAACAAAGTTGTTTTTTTGGTTTTCCGACGTTACAGGACGGCCCAAGAGGCGCCCAAGACCGCCCCAAGACGGCCCAAGAAGCTTCCAAGAGGGCCCCAGGACAGCCCAAGAGGGCCCCAAGACGGCCCAAGAGGCGCCCAAGATGGCCCAAGAGGGCCCCAAGACGGGCCCAAGAGGGGGCCCAGAGGGGCACCACGAACCGCAAGCTCGAGCCTTCCGCCCCAAGAGGCCGCCAGGAGGCCCCCAGGAGGCCCCTCAAGAGGCCCCAGGAGACCCCAGACGTCCAAGGACGCCCCCAAGAGGCCCCAAGAAGCCTCCAACATGCGTCCCAAGAGGGCCCCTAGACGTTAAAGATTTGCCCATTCCCTTCGTAAAACGTACATTTTCAACAAAGATGTCTTTTGGGCTTTCCGACGTTACAGGACGGCCCAAGAGGCGCCCAAGACCGCCCCAAGACGGCCCAAGAAGCTTCCAAGAGGGCCCCAGGACAGCCCAAGAGGGCCCCAAGACGGCCCAAAAGGCGCCCAAGATGGCCCAAGAGGGCCCCAAGACGGGCCCAAGAGGGGGCCCAGAGGGAGACCACGAACCGCAAGCTCGAGCCTTCCGCCCCAAGAGGCCGCCAGGAGGCCCCCAGGAGGCCCCTCAAGAGGCCCCAGGAGACCCCAGACGTCCAAGGACGCCCTCAAGACGCCCCAAGAAGCCTCCAACATGCGTCCCAAGAGGGCCCCTAGACGCAAAAATTGGCCCATTCCCTTCGTAAAACGTACATTTTCAACAAAGTTGACTTTTGGGCATTCCGACGTTACAGGACGGCCCAAGAGGCGCCCAAGACCGCCCCAAGACGGCCCAAAAAACTTCCAAGAGGGCCCCAGGACAGCCCAAGAGGGCCCCAAGACGGCCCAAGAGGCGCCCAAGATGGCCCAAGAGGGCCCCAAGACGGGCCCAAGAGGGGGCCCATAGGGGGACCACGAACCGCAAGCTCGAGCCTTCCGCCCCAAGACGCCCCGGATGCCCCAAGGAGGCCCCTCAAGAGGCCCCAGGAGACCCCAGACGTCCAAGGACGCCCCCAAGACGCTTCGCGTCACCAATTTCTTCTCGCAACGATTCCTGGGTCTGTGACTCGACAGAACCTAAGCGCGCGCGAAGCGCGCGCGTGGTTCTAGTCTACATCTATATCTACACCTACACCTACATCGACACCTACATCTACATCTAGACATACATCTACATCTACTTCTACGTCTACTTCTACGTCTACATGTACATCTACATGTACATCTACATCTACATGTACATCTACATCTACATCTACATCTACATCTACATCTACATCTACATCTACATCTACATCTACATCTACATCTACATCTACATCTACATCTACATCTACATCTACATCTACATCTACATTTATATCTACATCTACATCTACATCTACATCTACATCTACATCTACATCTACATCTACATCTACATCTACAACTACATCTACATCTACATCTACATCTACATCTACATCTACATCTACATCTACATCTACATCTACATCTACATCTACATCTACATCTACATCTACATCAACATCAACATCAACATCAACATCTACATCTACATCTACATCTACATCTACATCTACATCTACATCTACATCTACATCTACATCTACATCTACATCTACATCTACATCTACATATACATCTACATCTACATCTACATCTACAACTACATCTACATCTACATCTACATCTACATCTACATCTACATCTACATCTACATCTACATCTACATCTACATCTACATCTACATCTACATCTACATCTACATCTACATCTACATCTACATCTACATCTACATCTACATCTACATCTACAGCTACATCTACATCTACATCTACATCTACATCTACATCTACATCTACCTCTACATCTAAATCTACATCTACATCTACATCTACATCTACATCTACATCTACATCTACATCTACATCTACATCTACATCTACATCTACATCTACATCTACATCTACATCTACATCTACATCTACATCTACATCTACATCTACATCTACA